TTGGGAAAGGAAGGCGAAGCAGCTACCACTTGTTCAAACCACCAGACCTCTGTGACGGTCAAGTATAACGTGCGACAAGTGTCTCCTGAAAGACGCGGTATCAGACTCAGCTTACCTTCTACCGAAGCTCAAGCGCTAGTAGAGGAGCGGGAATGTTGGAGACGCTGTTTGACGCATATGCTTCCCCGACTGGAGAGGATAAGCGGTCATTGAAACTGACTGATTAATCGTTACTCATCTGATAGCTGACCAAAGGTCAGCAGAACACGTAAATCGTAGGTTAATAACCAATCGATATTAGAGACAGATTCGAACATCGTTGAGGTGGTCCTTGTGGAGCGTTTGCAACTACCTACGACAGTTCATGCAGAATGGAATGCGGGTACCAGAAAGTCCAGTACCCGTTTGCTGTTCAGCATAAGTGTGCGAGTTCTGTAACGAAGCTGCCAGATGCTGGAGAAGTTCGCACCGAACGTCGATCTCAGCGGTTGTTGCTGCTACACGTAAAAGTTGACCCTGACAAGAAGTTGACTAATCAGGAATACACAAACATTCTTCAGCCTCTCGTAGATGTTCATGGCGCCTCAGTTGGCTGTGACGATCACAGAAATGAAACTCGGGTTGTTGGGAGGTCAGAGCGACTCAGCCAGGTAGCTGAATCCGAATACGCCAGATTTGAAGACGACGAACTCAACCTGACCGACAAACGAAAACGAGGCAAACGAGCAGAGGTTGAATCAGCACCAGGTCTTAGCCACCGCTCTGAAGCATCCTCCGTAGGCCCTGGTTGCGAGGGGCTGAGTCGCACTGTTCACAAAAACAGCTGTGTTATTTGTTGTGTGCGTTCATGATGTGGAGGAAGTTGAAGCCGTCGAACAACGCTTTTTGAAAACTTTGAAGCAATGCGAAGGACTCAGGCGGTAAGAGGAGGTCAACCTGCATCAGAGCCTCAATTTTTCTAGGCTTAATCTCTGTTTGACCCATATTCATGAAAAGCATCGTTTCCCAATGGCTACGGTCTACGGTCGAGCAACGTTTCGGCCATGCGATGGTTGAACAGAACATGGCTGTTTCTGTCAAAGTATTCAATCTGCAGAAGTTTAAGACAAGCGACAGAGTACACAAATAATAGCGGCAAAATCGACTCTAACTCTTTCTTCTTTACCTTAGCTGTTGACAAATGCAGGTACACTCATAGCTAAAGCAAAGCTTTAGCCGATATAATACCCGATAAGATCTGCACGCACAAACTACTTAAGAAAAGCACTGAACGAAGCATTACAGTCTGATTCCAGATATATTGTCGCAATTTTAGCTGAGCTGCTGAGGGAAGAGATGACTTGTGAAAAGCGCCTGATCCAGATGAACGCGATGAGCTCATAATCAGGGTATAGTTGGTTCTAATTATCACCTGACACTGCTTCTGGCAAATGACTGAGTATTATGTGTGGGAAGAAGTTAAAATACTAAATCTGCCACTTAACCATGGGCATTATTTTCACAGATAAAATACTGCAAATAACTAAAGCATTATAACGAAGAAATTTATCACAAGTCAGAAAAATAGGTGAAAGAACACGATAGACATGAAAGAATAAGGGTTGAGAGAGGAGGAGATAAACGGAAAGAAGAAAAATATATAGAAACGATTAGACAGTAGAAACGTAATTATAGAGGATGAGGTTCCTGGTGTGCAAAGACCTTTGTAACTTAACTTTTCGTTTATGTAGTCAGCACCAAATGCGCTGATGAGGGTAGATTCGCATATCATGTGACCAACAGGGGTGCGTTCAAGATTTAAAATCTTCACGTTCTGTTTATCAATACGGGATAGGTCGTCAATAGCATGTTTTGCAATACCGGAATATTCTTAATGTACATGCTCGGCAGTTGCCACATGTTCATTCAGAAGAGGGAATGATTTAGTCCTTCTGTCATATCTACGTAAATCTGTCGACAACCGTAGCAACAACAGCCTAGTTTTTATGCACATTGTCTGCTGTACAAGTGCTCATCATACAAGACGATGAACAGAGTGATGCCTTTCTTGTGGATGATGCCGAATCTCACGTCACTCAGATAACGACAGAGGGATGGAAATAAATGCAAGATTAAAGGTAAAGATGTCGTTGTTTTGTATGCTGCGATGGCAGGGAAAGACTGTAGCTTGGATGAAGGATACAACGCCGGAGGCTATTGTGATCGTAACTGCCATTTTGAAAAATGTACGGCAGATCTTGGACGTCAGCCTTGCATATCAATAAATGGTTGCAACATGACATTACTCTTCAACGCAAGTTGATGACAATATTGTGAAATAAAACTGAGGAACTGGTATGTACGAAGCGATTATTATTTTGTTCTTTGAGGAGAACGGAGAGACGGAGAGACGGAGAGTTACTATTCCAATTTGACTCTGAAATTTGTCCTTTTCTCGTCTTCAAAGCAGCTTAGGAAACTAAGAAGTGCGTAAGTGGACCATCCTGCTGCTAGAAATACAAAGATGTCGTCGATTTACCTGCAATAGAAAAAAAAAGACTTCAAATCAAGAGGACAGAGATGTGCGGTAGCGGATACAATTCATTCATAAAAATTTTAGCAATATCAACGCTAATAGGATATTCCATAGCAGCCCTATAATGTTGGCAAAAGAAGCTGTTGTCATTTCCAAAACAAACGCCTGAAATTATCAAGTGCCTGAAACTTTCAAGATTTCTGAAAGAGGCAGAAACTTCGAGAAGCAGCTATTCGTCTTTTCAGATGTGCTCGGTGCCTTCCAAACTCGTTCGTGTGACGGAACGACTCTGCAAATCGAAAAGTTGTCAAGAAGTGTCTTAAAGTCGAATTTAAAAGTTTTCAAAAAGCCAGTTGAGTAAGGATTAGAACATGTACCTCCGATTTGAATTCTTCATCACTCTTTATTCGGTAAGTTAGCACACTACATGAAGACTTCATAAAGAGATCGACATATTTGCTTAAGTTAGTACCGGTGAAATGAAGGTTAAGCCGTAATGGTTTTAATGGCTTATGAAGCCACATGGTCGGACGTTTGCTGTGGTTTCTTCTGATGACAAAATCGATTGGAACTGTGAAAATGACCGAAGGTCTTTGTAAAGCCCAAGTATTTTCATCAGAGCTCCTAGCACATTCTTGCCGATGGTCGCGCATTGAATTCGTAATTTGAAATAGACGCTGCTGTTGTTCATATGAGACTCCTTCCCGCCTGCTTCTGCTTTCATAACAACAATCCACCACCCTTTGTCGGGACTAAAACATTAATGTGTTATTATTCGACTTCTTCTAATAGAAAGGTACTATCGACTGGCTTGGCATCCAGAGAGTTCACGAGAAGGATGTCTGTCTTGTACTTTAGAAGTGCAAGACTGAAACTCCATCCAAGCGGGACATAAATATTTTTTATTAACTGCTGAAATTATTTCGATCAGGAAATGTACGCCACAGTGCCGAGAAATGGGTAGCAAGTCGCTGATCTGAGAACAGCTTGATGTACGCTATTTTGGAGTGATCGTACGAGACATACGGCGATGCTGCTTTATGAGTTCGCTTTGGTGCTAAAGATTCTGCTTCTTCTTCTGTTCACTCAGTTTCAGCGAAATCGGTACCGGGTACCGAGCAAGCATTCCATCTAGATCGAATGAATACGTACTCGCTCTACAATTCTTTCGATGCCATGCTAATTCTCACGAGACCTAACCATTTTTTCGGAGATCTTCATGGCGATCGCTAACTGCTAGACAATGTGTTCAGGATTCGGTTTGAAAGGCGACTGTCTTTCGTTTTCCGGCTGGGACTCCACGTACTTCAATGCTTGTCAACATCCAATCGGTTATTTCTGTTCTATATTCTGTTCTTTCTCTATTTCGACGGCATTTTACATTAGACCATGCTATTTCGCTTTTAAAATCAATCTTAAAATCTTCATCTCCAGCTCTTCCAGCTTTCATTTGCCAGATTTTTTAATTGCTGCCTTCTACAGACCATAGCAATTTATTCAGAATACACGCCCCGTATATCCGCAGCTCTGTGCAATGGCCTAAGTTTTCGTTCCTCTAGAGTTTGCTTACTTGTTACTGGCTAATAAGGACAGTTACATGCGAATTTTTAACATTGTCTGACCGCTGGAATCAAGGTACTTTAGAATTATAGATATTTCAGAATATTTCCTAAAAATCCATAATTTTTAAGGGTGAGGCCTAAATTAGGTGCCCTCTCTGAAAGTAATCGCACCAGTTTATCCAGACCACTAACTAATTAAAAAATTGACCGGAAGCGAATGGCCGGCGCAGCAGAAGAATGAAGGAGCCGCTGCCGAATGTAGTCGAAAAATCAGACGAAATGCTTGAAGACGAACAAATGAACGAAGGAGGTGGCATGGCATGGTCAGTCGTCACAATAAAGCATAAGATGGGGTTGTGCATTATGATTTTTCCGTTGTTGGCAGATGCTGTTTTGTATACATCGCCTATAATAAAGCTTGATGACCGACTCCGTGTCTTTT